TTGCATTGCTTCAGATAGCAACAGGAGGCTTTGTTATAAATGCTCATTTGTTGGATAGCTGTGTTTAAAATGAACAAGTATGACCTAAGAGGGCTTAAATTATTTGTGAAGGCACTGTATGTCAGTAGGAGAGTTGGAGAAGAAACAACAAAACCACCAGAACACCAAAAAGAACCTAAAAGAAAACAACACCCCCCTCCCACCCTGCCCCAAATCCAGATGAGTACTTCACTCAAGAGCAGTTCTTTACCAGGCTCCTTTACAGAATCACACTCTACCTCACTCCATTTTACTCCCCCAAACTCCAGCTGTGGCTTGCACAGCTTCTGCTCACTCTGCTCTTTTGCTTGGCCTCCTGATGGGTATCATCTTCACTGTCATCAGGTTTCTAGCTTCCTAGTGTGTTCCTTTTTGTGTTATACACCAGCTGTCAGAACACCACCAGTTTCTGTTCACCTCATTTGTAACAGCTGGAATAGGCAGCCTCACCTCTTGGCCAGGTCTGTAAATTAAAAGCTCACATGACTGAGAAAAGGAAGTGTGGTGGCTTTGTGGCTTCGTGGCAGAAGGTTTAGCAGGTGTTTGTCTAAAAGTTGGCTCAATATTCTCACCCACTCTGTGATGGTGGAAGAATACTCTGCTTGCTCTGGTCCGGGGAGGTGTCTGTGCTACCAGGGACATGGCTGTCCAACCAGGCTGCAACTTGTGGCTGAGCTTGGCTCCGCAACTGCATTAAATGCCAACTGAGCGTCTGCTTTTAGGCTGTTTGGGGGCTTAAGTGAAATATTCTGCTGAAAAGAAGGGAGTGACCAAAAGATGACTGCCACTGCATTTACAGTGGAGGGAACATGTGAGAGTGTCTAACTTAGAGATGAACGCTTTTGGAAGTGGTTATCTTCTGGTGTGGTACACCATGGTCACAGGGAGCACGTTAGTCTTTCAGGGTGATGAAAAAATTGTGTAACAGGGATGTAAAGATGTAAATGTTTAGATTTTGCTGGTCTGAAACATACACTGTTTAAATATTGATGGAAACACAGAAAGCACAAATTGTTTGCAAGCTAGGACTGTCCTGTAGCATGTTTATTCTATTTTTTTCTTCACTGTGTACAGGAATTGCTTTCTTCTTTTAAAATGAGGACACCCAAGCATGAACAGGAATTGGAAAAATGTCTAGCCAGTTTGGGTGGCAGTGTTGCTATTTTTTTTGTTTGCCTGTTCTCCTTGTGCAGGAGGAGGAGGACTTGTGCTACATATATGCAGTCAGTACTAGTGCAGGTCCTGGAGAACAGTTTGATCTCATTGATAAAAAAATCTTGTGATACTAGATGGTTTGAAGTCTGTGCAACAAACTGAAAAGGGAAGAAAGAGGTCTGCTTTGGTTAGCTTAAAATACAAATTTGTCGGCTGTTCATACATGGGGAAGAAGATAAGATGAAGACAGATAGGGAAGAATAACAGAAAACTGTTCCTCCATGTCAATTGTTTTCAAAGTGCAGGTATTCCCAAGCTGGCTTTTCACCATGTCTGTTTGCTTTCTGTTCTTGAAGACTTACAAATTATCATAGAATCATTTGGTTGGAAGGGACCTTAAAGATCATCTAGTTCCAACCCTTCTGTCATGGGCAGGGATATGTTTCACTACATCAGGTTGCTCAAAACCCTGTCCTACCTGGCCCTGAACACTTCCAGAGATGGGACATCCCCAATGTCCCTTTGTTCCAGATCCCTTTGGGGACCTTTTGAAACCATGAGTTTTATAACAGAAGTGCTCTGTTGTGCTTGAAGGAATATATTTTAAAAGCTCATGTCAACATGTGGATTATAAAATAGATGATGAGTGAATGTATAGGCAACACTTACATGAAGTTTGAAGCTTAAGGTCTAAAAGAGAGTTTGGGTGCAGAAAGATAATTCATAATTCTAAAGAGTGTTTTTTGTTCATTAACACAACTTACAAGATAGGTTTTATTTTGAGATCTGGAATGTTTTCTTGCCAAAATTATGGACTGTTTTTTTTTTGCTGCCAGTGATGAGACTTTCTTCCCAAGTTTGATTAACACAGTCAATTCAGAAACAGATTGAGTAATGCCCACCAATGGAAGACACCAGGTAATAGTGGCAAGTCTTGATCTGCTATTCAACTGTCCTCACACAAAAAGGAAACCTCAGATATCTAATTTCAGGCTATTTCTCTAGTTTAGTAGTAATCCAGCACCAAAATTTGTGTGGAATTTCTTTTATTTAAAAGTGGAGTTAGCTTTCTGTGGCATTAATACTCTGAACTATGATAAGGTGTTTGCTCTCCTTTTTTTCCTGCCTCAGCAACAGACGGCAGACACCACTGCCAGCAGCATCTATCTGAGCTGACAGATTTAAGCTCCATTTAGTTCTGAACTTTATTCATAATCCACTTACCTACCACACACTACCTGCTTTGTCAAGCTTTTAAAAAGTATTCTTTGGCAATTATTTTGGTCATGATGTGTTCAAACTGGGGAGGAGGAAAGCAACTTGTTCACAAAATGCGATTAGGGCCAACATCAGAAATAGAATATGAACATTAGGATTCACAGCCCTGTGTTGAGTCTATAATCTCTTCTGTCTACAATTTACTGCTTTCTTGCTCTTTAAAAAACAGCTTGAAGTTTTTTTGCTCTGAAGAAAGAGGATGAAATGTGAGGTACAATGACATCAGTCTGTTGAAAAGACTGAAATCTTAGGTAACTGTAGCTTTTACGTGCAAAATGTCCTGTGTTAACAGGAGGCAAACATTATAGAAAGAGGTCTTTTATTTGACTGGTTATTATGTAGAGGAAAAAATTACTTTGGACATGCATTTGAGATATGAGGAGAAGCTTGTTTTGGGAAGCTGATGGGCTTTTTAACATGCCTCTACTTACAAGAGGCATTATTTTCTGCAAGTCATGATTTTTTAATTTTTTTTTAATAGACCATCATGCTACATTGGTAAATGATATGTTTCAGTGTAGATCAGTAGTCTTTAAACTCATAGGTAGAGGGCAACAGTTCAAAATTACTATCAGAAAACAGCATGTCTCACATAGGGAATATTATATGGGGACTTAATGCTTTTCTGATATTCTCAGCAACATTCTCAAAAGTGAAATTTATATTTATTTATTTATTTTACCCTATAGGAAGTAGGGATTAATATTGACCTGCAAGCATAATGGATAGGGTAACATTTGTGTGAGTAATCCCTGTTTTACTTTAAGGTGTTTTTTTCTGTTTTAAAAACCAGTAGAAATAGCACAGGTAGTTTCTAGACTGTTTGATTAGTATCTACTATGGATATAATAGAAAAGTAGAATTTCTCTCTATAAGCATGTTTTGAATATATATTTTAATTCATAGAGCTTGGGTTAGTTTTCTAAATCCCTTCTTGAATCTATTATGCAGATGATTAAAATTCTGTTTAATTATCACAGCTTTACTTGGCAGTAAAATTGACATGATGGTTCTTATCTGTCATACATAAGTTTCATGGCATACAGTTTATTGCCCACTAATAGAATATGAGAACTTTTTGTGTTTCAATTTCATTATGGTGATTAATTTGATTACTGAGGTTTCTGAATATTTTAGTAGGTTGTCTTTATAAATTTGAGTGGTGAAAGCTTACTTATTTGATTTTGAAAATTTGAAGATATAAATTATTCTATATAAAGTAGATACCTCTGTACTTTGTGTTTAATCCTGTATCTAAGGTCTAGTTATAATGCTTCATGCTATGCAAAATGACACATTGGATCCTGCCATGCATTACCTGCATGGTTTAATTCTATGTATATAAATCAACATTGGTGAAACGGCATGACTAGATTCACACCCTTGAAGTTTAAAGAGTTGTTCATACAATCTGGTTCAATCCTTTGCAAATGGACTGAAATATTTATCTCAGAAGTTGGCATAAAGGATGTTAAGAACCCAAGTACTGCAACTGATGATCAGTATTATTTTTCTACCAGTAAACTCTTCTAGAATTTAATTACCTTTAGGTTGTCTGATTTCAAGATTAAGTTTTCAGATAACCTGTCTTTGCTACTGAACATGTTGCTGATAGGCTGGGATGATTCTTCCCCCTCCACCCCTCTCCCCCACATGTAGAGGCTATTACTATGTAAATAATATGATTCTTTTGGTCAAATAATCTCCATTAACCTGTTATGGTAGCTTACCCTGCTTTATTGCCATGAAGTCTATGTCTTCAGTTTTAACAGCAAGAACTGTTGGGATGCCTAAAGCTGTGCACATTTTAAGACTTCACAGGTAAAAATCTGTAGGATGCAGGTAATGCAAACTTTTTTCAAAAGGGAGGGGAAAGAGGAAAAAGGATCTCAGAAAAGTTCAAGTGTAGTCTTTGTCTCGAAAACTTCTCCTGAAATAAATATATATATATAATATATATACAAACCAAACATTTTACATAAATACTCCTTTTTTTAAAGGAGAATTCATTCACTTAGAGTTTTTACTCTGTCACTGTGTAAGTGCAGCTCTGCTTTCTGAAACTTAACAATATTAATGTATAACTAATGGTCTGAAGAGGGTAAAGCCTTTTCTGTTACACCTGTACTGTGCTTCAAGAACACTGAGTCTGTCATAAAGTCCCTCTTTGCCATCCATCAGGACACTGGGTAGTCCCCAACAGAAATATTGTCCTCAGTCCAGCTGCATAAGTATATGTAGGTACTACACAGCAGAACTGAAATAAGAATACTGTGTTGCATGTCTTCTCTGCAACTGATATTGCAGCTTCTCACACTGCTTGCTTTACCTTCAGTTTGTTATTGATTTAGTGGGATCTCAGGGACGTGTCAGTCAGGATATGGTAAAAAACTCAGGCTTGTTTCCTCTCTTATACATCTCTTCCAGTCCATCTTTGACATTCATGTGTGGTCTTGCTGAATCCAGAGTTCAAAATAATTGGATTTCTCATGAAAACACTTTGCAGTATGAGTTTACCAGAGATGTGTTATAATGAAATGCAGGAAAGGCTTGCAAACCACTTATTAACTCCATTTTATGCACTAATTAAGCACCTAACCTCTTGTAGTGGTGTGAGGATTTAAAAAAAAAAATTATTCAACTGCATATATTGGATTTGCTTCTAAGCAAATGACTATTGTAGGTAGGTACCTTATTTCTAGACACAGGAGAACAAATCCAGTTTCTCTACTTACTTATTGGCTTTTAAAAGTGAAATAAAAAGTTAGGTTCCATTTTTGTGGAGGTTAGAAGAGGAAAGAGTATTCAAAATTAGTTGTGGTTTGGTTTTTGTTTTCAAAACAAGTCTTTTTTAACTTGTAACTACCTTCATTGAAACTGAAATGCTTTCAAGTACGTTCTAAATAAACAAATAGACGTATGATCTTATATGCGGTCTGACCTGAAGGATTATTTGTGGGTGAACTCTAGCGTTAAGGGTTGTTAGATCAAGAAGTATAATTATATTGTACTGTGGAAGAATGATTTTTCTTTACTCAGTTCTGTATTAGTTCTGGTAAATATTGGGCTGGCAATATGTGTTATCCCTGTTTAGTATATAACTTTTAAACACCTATGGTTTTTTGCTTATATGGACTCATTTTCTCTAAAGAATCTCTGCCTATAGGTTCTATTTTTCTGGAAAACTTAAGACAATAACTAAAATGATTTAAGCTTTGTTAGTGCAATTTTTGATGACATTGTCAGAAGACTTTGCAAGACCTATTGGTTACTTATATGACATAATTCCGGTGTGCTTGAAAATATCACAGCTGTCAGCCACTGGAAGTAAGTATAAGAAAGTTGAATCTTTAATTTTTTTAATCTTCATTTTTAACTTTGCGGTGGTGAGCTTCTATTGTAATGATATTTCTTTCTGTCCTAGAAGTGGTAGTTTGAAAACTCGCAGCTACTGCTTTGGAGTTTGGATGGGTGTCTATACACATGCACAGACTTTCAATCTCGATTTTAACCTTTATTCTTATTCTGAGTAAGACTGTGCTGCAAAAAGTCTTTTATTCTTGGTAACTCAATTTGGAGATATTTTTACACCATAAGCTGTAATACTTAATCATCTAAGGCTTTCGTGCTTATTCTCTATTCATATTTAATTGATTTTGTTTTTTCAAGTGATGCAAAATTTCATCACGTTGTGATGCTTCTGGCTTCCACATTTTCTTTCTATGTAACTTACAGGAGAATTTTGTGGGGAAATAACTATAGATAAGGAGCAAGTGGTGACCTGTACACATTGCTCATAATGAACTTTATCTTTTACTTTGGTTGTTGCTTTAGTAATGCCCAATAATTTGTATGGAAACTTGCAAATAATGTTTTGTGGTAAATATGTCATAGGATTTTCCTGCGAAATAGAAAAGTTGAATTTCATATTAATGGCGAGACATCTAGTTTCTCATTGGGAATGTATAAAAGATGAAACATTTCCTCTGCAGAAGGGGAAAGCACAAACTGGTTTCCTTAGGTGTTGAGTTAAACTTAATTCTTTCTTCTATCTAGTTGAATAATTTAATCCTCATTAAAGTGCACTGTTGATAGATATGACTTTGAGGTAAGCAGTTTTTAGCTACATGGGTTGATGCATGCTGGAGAACACTTGTATTGGTTCTCTTAGGATTATACGTCGTTACAAAGATCCCTTTAATTTGTTATCCCTCTTTCTACACCTATTCAATTGATTTGTTATATTTAAATAATGGAACAGATAACCATAGAATGTAACTCTTATTGAAAAAGGACATACAAGACTTGACCATGTCTTTAGTACTACAGTTTTGCCCTTCAGTGTGAGGGGTGCTCACTCATGAAATGAAAGAAACATTGCCCTTTCATACATGACATTGCCACAGATTCTGTAATATTTATGATTTTTGAGAGGCCAACATTCAACTATACTATATTTGCAGTCAAGACTACAAAAAAACTCTTGAGAACACATAGGGTGAAGTAATACCCTTCTAGGAAAAACCATGAGTATGCTCACTTGCAGGAGTAAATTATTCTCATTTGCCCAGTGAAATGAAGGTAATAAATGATTTATTAAAAAAAACAAAACGACAAAAAACCCCACAACAAAAAATAAACAAGGCACAAAGCAAAAAACACAACATTCACAGTTATACATAGTGTGATTATAAGTAAAAGGTCCTTGAATATATATTCAGCAAATCTGTCCTTGATTTAATTCGTTGGTGAGAAAGAAGTTAATGGTAGTTACACTGAGCATCAATTCTTACGGTTTTTTTAACATCAATTTCCAAGCAAGTTGGAAACAAATTAAATGCTGGTATGGAAAAAGTACTTTTAAAAGTCAGTCTTCAATACAAAAGATGAGGAAAACATGTTATTTTTGTTCTGCTTGACTGCAGCGTTACAGTAGGAGAAGGCATGCATAACCAACATTGTCCAGAAATGTGTTTAATGTACTTGGAAAACATTAACTTGTGTCTGTAGCTGTATTTGTTTCTCCTGTAAGCCTATTGCGTGATTTCATTATGGGATAGAATTCCAAATTTTTTAATACCTTAGGGTGAAAATAACTGTGTTTTCCGGTGGTTTTCTTTGTTTAATTAAAATATATCTCTCAGCTTTCTATATTTGACATGTTTATTTCAGGGAAAGTATTGACTTGTCGATAATATTCAAATTTGTCTTGCAGGTTTTTTTGTTGGTTTCCTTTGTGCATCAGCCTCTTGCCGGAGGCTACAAAGCAGGAACTGAGATTTGCATGTAATGGCTGGTCCTGGTTGCTCAGGGCTGGAGGCTGATTGCTGGTGCTTAAGAGCTGGCTTCTGGTCTTGCCAGAGGTCTCAGTGACCCCACTGCCTATCCCAAAAGCAGCTGCCATTGCAGGTTGCTTCATGTTCTTTCATGTGCCCCTTTATATTGCGCTGGGGTCGATAAGCCATTTCAGTAATCTGGTCCCATTTAAAATACAGCTTTAAACACAGGTTATATATAGATGAAAAGTCCTAGAGCAGGTTCTAACAACTCATCTGCTTACCTCTGTCCTGTTCTCCTTCCCTTGCCCTTTAGGCTAGGGATTTGCCAAGTTGTTTCCTTTCAGACTTACTGAGCTTACGGCATACTAAGGTGGCATGTAGAAAATGGTGTAGGCAGGTGCCTGTGGTGTGACACCTGTAACATAGCTCCCTCAGGAGCTTACTCGCTGCAGAGTGAGACTGAAGGCCATGTAGGTGACAAGTAGAAGGTGTGGCTTTCTCTGCTCAGGATTCCCAGTGGTTGGCGGTTTCCTGGGGTTTGATTAGGTCCCTTGAGCTCCGGTTGACCGATGGCGGTGCCATCCAAACACTCAGCCGTTTATCCCTGTCTTGGCACAGTTTCCGTGGTCAGATGGCTCTCAAGGACAGCCTCAGCTGGGGCTCTTTGCATACCATTAACAGAAACCATGAACTCTGTGTTGCAGGTGTGATTTTATATAAAATTGTAAAAATCAAGGAATTACAAGTTTTCATTTGTGAACCCAGTGCAAATTGACCACTCTATCAGCAACCATTCCTGGGTTAGAAAGCCCATTTTCTGGATATTAAAATTAGAAATTAACATACTATGATTAACTGCAGACTGTATATCAAGAAAAATTGTAAAGCAATAGGAGTGTATGGTGGTTTATATGAAAATCTGTTCATAGTTCTCCTAAAGATTACCCCTTTCTTTTTATCCCCTCCTTTAAAAAGAAAAGAAAAAAACTGAAGAAAACAAACATCTAAAACCCCAAACCACACCTTTTCCTACGAAAAAATGCAAAATACTGACTAAATAAATAACTCTTGACAGCTTACAGTTTTGATTTTAGAAAATATACAATAGCTAATTATTAATTGGCTGACAAAAAAACTTCCTATGAGAGTATTGTTGGAAGAGCTGAATGCTTATGTGTGTCTGAATTCTGAGCTGTCTGTGAGAAGGCAATTGTCTTAGCTGCTTCTGAGTATACATTACACATAGTTGTGTGAAGATGGATCACTGTGGTGCTTTGTTGCATTTCCAATCCCCAAAACCCTGATTTATGCAATTTTGCATCTCATGGCTTTTTATGCTTTTCATGTTTGCCTTTTGTAGTGATGCGTAGTAGATGCAATGCTTCAGTATTTTAAGTGTTTGTTTTTTTTTTTCCCTTAAGTTGTTCGATTTGTTTAGCTACTTAAAAGAAAAACCACCCTGTGTTTTTAGGCAGATACACAAATAAAGGGAGATTGCAAAATAGTCCTGATATTGGACCTATCTAGCTTGGCCAGCAGTCTTGGAAACACTCATATTATGCGAGTCTCTTTGTAGCTGGCCCCTAATAAGTGAGGTATGATTTGGTAATTGGTATGGTAATTAACCTGGAAAACTATCCTCTTCTTTGCTTGCCAACTGGCTTTAAACACTGTGATGTTAATTGGTAAACCGATCCAGTGGAGAGAGGCTTGAAATGTTTAGAGGCTGGTCTGTATTTAATTCAACTCTTCTTTCAATGAATGACTTTTTTTCTCATTAATGGGATGCTTTTTTGTTTGTTTGTTTTAATTTGTAGATACTGGTTGTCAGAGTTTTAGTGAAACCCTAACAACAATTTTTTTTTTCCTTGTGGCATATTCTTCTCTGATATGAACGTCTGGTTTCATGAATTTATGTATGCTAGACTGTAAAATATTGACATGTTTTAAGGTTACTTCTGCTTGCCTTACATATGGTGTTTGTATATATATATATTCCCAAAACAATTTTACTTGATAGAACTCGATCTTCATTACCTCAAAAATGTTTTGTCAATTGAGAGTAAACAGAATTATTTTATTGTAGTTAAACTTGTACTGTAAATGCAGAAATATGTAGGAAATGTGTAAGGGGATGAGGGATTTACTAGTTACAGATGGTAAAAACTTGTCTTGGCATTATCTTCCTGCTTTATAGTAGGTGTTTGGAATTTTTTGCCAATTTACACTAAGGCATTGGCCCATGCCTAATCTAAGTATACATTGTGGGATTGTCTCTAATCTCTTGAGACTGTTCACATTTAGAACATGGAAGCTCCCCTATATATATGCATTTATATTCTGGTTTACAACAAGCTAATTTCACAACTTATTTTTCTCTACAACAAGCATTTGTTCATTTGGGGTGTAGTGAGGTCTTCATGATGTTGTAGGTTACTCTGAAAAAGCATAGATCAAACATAGAGAATTATAAGAACTGTTATTAAATATAATTTTTGTTTTATAGGTTATTCAGCAATAGTTATGAACTCCCGTTTACGAGCCTTAGGTGGGAGGATAAATAACATACGAGCATCAGAGCTACCAAAAGAGAAAACCCGATCAGAGATAATCTGTAACGTCCACTTTTTGGATGGCTCAGTACAAAGCTTCAAAGTCAACGTAAGTTTGGAAAACTACTTTATTTTTAAATACATAGAAATTTGTTTGAAAACTGGAGATCAGTTGTGGGACCCTGAGGCACGGTGTTTCCAAAAGATGTTGAAGACGTAACTTTGTCAGTACAAATTGCAGAATTACTGCTTATGAAATGGGTTTATGAAGTGCTATTTTAATTTACTTTCAAGTCAACCAACTGAAATATCGTAAAATCATGGCATGCAGATTGCATCTGGAAAAAAGTCTTCTGTATGATATGGGAACCACAAAGAAACAGTCGTTGTCAACTATGAATAAGTAATTAATATTTAAAGGGAACACCCAAATTTGGATGTGCTCCTCCTTTTCTCTCATGAAAGGACTGGTAAAAAGGAGGAGGCCTTGTAAATTCCTGTAGTGATGTCAGTACACATTTTCTGAAATGCAAAGGTGAAGACATATAGTGAAGACAATAGTGAAGACATCGTGGCTTAGCAGGACAGTTTTGTTCTTCACTGTTTTGTACTTCGATATAGCCTCTTTATTTGGGTGTGGGGAGGGAAAGAGGATTAATGGAGGTTTGCACTTTGTATTTTTACTGTATTTTATTCTATAAATATTTTGGTTTATAACTTTTAGTACTGATTAAAAATATTAGCTCATTTTTAAAGGAAAACAAATAGCTTCAGTCCTCAAGCAACTTTCATTAAAATGATCTGACCCTGCAAAAAAACTGTAGATGAATTTAAATAAATTTGTGTGTATTTGTGTATATGATACTTATTTTATCCAATATGCCCTATTTGAGAAGAAGCATTTTGCTGAGGAAGCTGTGTTGCTAGATCTTTTAGATTACACAGTGTTTTCTTTCGGGTGCAGTTTTGAAACTCTTGTAAGTTGTATTTTCCCAAGTCTTATTACAGTTCGCTTTGCAAACTGATAACTTTTTCTATTGGATATTAGTTGAAATAGAAATTATTTGGTAGGTTAAACATATTTTCATTCTAATATATACAGAATTAGTCTTGGTTTAGTGTATAAATATAGTATATGCTATGTATGTATATACCTATATGTGTGTGTCTATGAAGTAGCTAATGTTGGGAGGCACAGTACAAGCTGAGTAGGTATGTAAGAGAAGGAGCAACACACTAGTATACAATTTCCATTGTTTGTCTCCAGTATGCCCCAAGAATTGCCTTGTCTGTCAGTGAACTGGCATAATTACCACATACCACCACTCCTCCCTCACCCTCAAGGATCTGTGAAAAATGAGGAATTCAAAATGTTTTTAAATCCATGCATAGTAGTGTATTCAGCCTTAGTAAACAAGTGTTTACACAGCTTTACATTTAGTGCTAGACATGAAGTCCAGCACTGCACAAGTGAAAATTGTGTCTCATTTCGTCCTTTAAGCAGTGACCACAATATGGGAACCATGGAGAAGGAACTGGCCAGGCCTTGGTAGGTCTTCCAGTACCTAAAGAAAGCTGGAGAGGGACTTTGTACAAGGACATGTAGTGACAGAACAGGAGGGAAATGACTTTAAACTAAGAGAGGGTAGATTTAGACTAGATATTAGGAAGAAACTCTTCGCTGTGAGGGTGGTCAGACACTGGAATGGGTTGCCCAGAGAAGCTGTGGGTGCCCCATCCCTGAAAGTGTTCAAGGCTAGGCTGGGTGGGGCTTCGAACAAGCTGGAGTACTGGAAGGTGTCTGTGCCCACAGCAGAGGAGTTGGAATGAGATGATCTTTAAGGTCTTTTTCAGCCCAAACCATTCTATGATTCTATGATTTTCTGAAACTGCAAACTGAGCTTATTGCTCTCCCTACCTTCAGCATACCCCTGGGGTATCCCTGCTGGTTACCTCCTGACATCAAGGAAACTGCATCCTTTGCTGCAGCTTTAATGCTGAACTGTGTAGGAGTGATGTAGGACTCATTACTGCTTTATTGAAAACAAACAGGGAGCGTGGCTGCCCCACTGTGTTATGGGCTAAAAAAAGGAAGTTTCACAGAAGATTTATTTCTTTGAGTACTGAGCTGTCATACCGGTACTAAGGGAGGCCGTACTATCTGCCAGGTTGGCCCTTCCTGGTTATCTAACCTTGAAGTCGGCCTAAGAATAGGTTTTGCCATGCTCTGGTGGTGTCACAAGGTCCATTTCTTGAAAAGCTTTGAAACCAGCTGCAGAAAATTTGTATACATGTTCTGCCTACATTAGCAGAAAAATTCAGCTTTGTGAAGTTTGAAGTTTGTTGACTCTGTGTGTTTATTTTAGTTGCTAAAATCGTTCAGTTTTATGTCTGTGAACAAAGAGTGACTCCGGTCTGTGGTCAGTCTGGGAATCAGCTAGGCATGTAGTGAAGGAAAGTAAGTTTTGCTCTGAACAGATTTTCCTCACTAATGACGTCTTTCTGTGTTGTTTTAGAGAAACTGTTTCTCATATCAAGACGTTTTTCTCCACATTTAATTCATTTCCGGATGACAGGTTAATTGATAATTCTATATTTTTAAGAAATTCAATATGCATATCACATGGCACAATTATTCAGAAGAAAAATTAATAACAACGTATTTAATAACTTAGTAACACATTATTAAAATGAAGGTGCTTTCGAAGTGACTAGACATAGATACAAGATACCTGGATAAAATGACTTACTATGTCTTGTGAATTTTGCTAATATGTGTTCTAGTTTTTTACTTTATCAGTTTTTACCAGTATTGCTGAAATCTGTTGAATTTTTCTCTCCTGGAGCTGAACAGGATCATCTCTTCTAAAGCATAGGAGTGTAGTGTTTTCTCTTTAAAAGAACTTCAATGTATCAGTGGAAAGCTAAGGTTGAGGTGTGTGTTTGGGGTCTAGTGGTGCTAGGTTCTAACCTGTGAAGGCTCAAAGTTTTGATATATGTTGCAGTTTGAACTAGTGTTAGTCTAATGTTCATATATACATAAGTTTGATTTATGTTCATAGAATTTTCTATGACAAATAGTGGGAAGTGAACAGGGAAAATCAGTATACTTGAATCTTAGTCTTCATCCATTCAATAATGTAAATGGAATTGGAGACTTCTCCCATTCTAATGACAATGTACTGAAAAATACTGAGCATTGCTTTGTCATGTAGCAGCCATTCTCGTGATAACAAGATTTCTTTAAAAGTTGCAGGGAGATTATATAGAAAAAGAACATCAAAGAAAAGAAACATTAAGAGTAAGAGAAACTTTAGATCAATTTGCTTTATTTTTAAACAAATAGATATTCTTATATTGTCATTTCAACTATCTTGTTGACAATGCACAGATGCTTAATGCTACAAAATATGGGGTGGATTTAAATTTAACACAAAGATGATAGATTAAATACTCTAAACTTACAACCTGACACACTGAAAACAATTTAGGAATTTTGAACTAGTACTAAGAGACATCTTTAAAATGATGGTAGAACATTCATGTTATCTTCAAATAGTGAACCTTTTAGAGAACAGGGAGAACAGAAATAGGTCTTTCTTTTCATTCTGTAACAACAGGATCTTTATAGAGCCCACAAAGTTGATTTTCATCAAATTTTGTTAGCAAATTGCGTGGGCTCATGTCACTTTTGTACTTATATCTATAGGACTGCTAAATGGTATTTTAATTTTCCAGTGGTTTGATCAGTAGCAGGGTGAATGAAAATCAAATATCCTAAAACTGGACAAAGGAAGAAGGAAGGTGGATTTTGCATATGGAAATAACCAGAGGGACTTTCTATCTATTGAGAAACCTGAAGATAGCTGCATAATTTGATTCCTGAAAATTCTTATTAAGCACTTAGCCCAAAGAAAAGCACTATGCTGACCAACTGTAATAAAGATTTAGTTGCAAGAGAACAGTGCCATTTTTCTCCTAGATTTTTTGCTTTGGCAGAGTAGTGAAGTGATTGGCATTTTTGTTCGTTGTTTTTATTTAAAGGTGTTTATACTACAGTTTTAGTGAATCTGAAATTTGTACTGACGGTATCACAAAGAGTTAATCAGTGTAACTTGTGGCATGTGCTGTTCTTGGGTCACCATTATCAGGAAAGTTCACATGGGAGTACAGACAGACACATTCCACTACATTGCTTACAGTCCAAAGAGAAATGTATGTTAACTATGCAGGGCTGAAATGACCCTTCTTGTCTTTCCACCATTAAGTGCTTCAGTACTTAGATGGAACATGTCCAAAGTCCAGGCAAAGAGTAGAAGGTACATGTAAGCTAAGAGTTGGAAATGTTCTTTCAAAATCCCATTTGAGACAAAGATTTGACTGCATTTATTACTGAATGTTGCACTGGACTTTAATTACATCCAAGTTTTCTTGAAGCCTCCCCGTAAATTTCAGGTGTTTGAATTTTGGGATAAGGTTAATTCACCTCTGTCTCTGATGTTACCTCTGTCTTGTTCTCAGGCTATAATGCATAGGCTTTCCACATGGGGAAAATTCTAGCTATCATTCCAATACATACAGAATGTGCTCACATACCATGTTTGAGTGTGTTTAATAGATGTATATGGAGCAATAATGCAAATCTATTTGTAATTTTTCACATAAACACGTAGGAATTTTCTGGTTTTGCTGTGCTTTGACTCATTTACCACGAATGACCACTTGGGAAGCTCGCCTCTCAATTTCCAGTAAACTGACTTTTGTGAAAGGATAAAATTTGCAATATCAGATCACTTCTGTATTTCATTGTCTTTCTGAGTTGACACTTTTATCTTAGTACCTGTGATTTTTGCTTTTAGACTAGTTGGCTTTTAATAATAGGGCTGCCTTCTAGAAATAAAATTATGAGGCTATAATAATTCAGTAAGTTGGAGGACTTAGAGTTCAAATTGTAAGGAGTGTTTTTCCTTCTCTGCCAGTTCAGTTAAGCTCCTTCCAGTATTTGAGAAGGAACATGATTGTTAAAATTAACACAAACAATTACTGTTGGCATATTTGTAATAATGGACAGAGATACAAGTCTTGAAGGTTCTTTTTAATTGTGGGTCA